AAAAATCATCTTTACATTGCTGGTAGGTTATCATTGCACAAATTAACACAATTTCTACATTTAAAAAAATAAAAATTAGAAGAGTTCTAAACTAATGCGCTGTCTTCACTGTATCTCATGCACACACGATTTTAGTCACTCACACAGATCACATTCAGCAACACAAACTTTTTAGCGCTGCCCTGCAATTTTATCAATAAAGTAGCTTAATCGCTCAAGAGCTACATTATCTTTCTCAACAAGGAGCTGGTAACATTATCGTTTCTAAAGAAATTAAAGCCACAGCTTCACTGTTAATAGAGAAACGCGGCAAAACGGAGGTAATTCATACATACACAGACTCTCTCTCTCTCTCTCTGAGAACAGAATATTAAAGTGGAGATCGCTAAACTGCAACCGCGTTTATCCACAGTGGAGAGAGAGCGAGTGCACATGGTTGCCAGGCTGATAAAGATAAGTAGCACACTTAGCAGATATTTCCATATTGCGCAAGTGGGAAGCTCTGTTTCAGGGATTACGTCTCTTTATATCAGGCAACCCAGTTGTGTTCCTCTGCAGCCAGATTAAACCTTGTTATAGCCTATATATTATGCTCTATTCATTTTTAGAAACCTCGCACTTTTCGACTCCATTTTAAACCGTGCTCTCGTATTCAAATTAAGCACGGTCCACTGCTCCACACGTGCCACAATATCGATACAGGGACAGCTGTATCTATACTCGTATCGTCAAATCTCTGTGACGATACATCGTCGTATCGATGTATCGAACACAGCACTAATGATTTGTACGAAAACATGATTTTAGAAAAAATGTACAAGCAAGAAAGCTCACCCCTAAACCTAATTGTTGGTATGGCATAAGTAGATTAAACAAAAACATAAGATCGTACAAATTAGCCACCGAAGCGTGAAATAGTTACAAACTGAAACTGCCATGACAGTGTGTTCGAAAATGTAGCTTGTTTTAAAGCTGAGCTACTGTCAAGTAAACTAGCTTGTAGAGTTGCTACAATTAATTATTTACATTTTTTTAATTCCGGAAGCATATACAACTAGCAAGGAAGAAACACTTTATGCTCCATCTCATTAATTCAAAGCACTTCCATGAAGGGGTCACAGATGATCAAAAAGTCACCATGGGTAAATGATTGCGAGTACGTCGCATTGCAAATCGAGTTCACAGAGGTTGAAGTCTACAACACAAGCTACAAGAGAAACATGAAAAGTAGTTCCCCTGTTAATAACAGATCGTGTTCCGGTGTAAAAGTGCCTTCTCACCCTTTTCAGAGGCAGCGGGGGCGGTTTGGACTGAGCACGAGTCCTGGACACCTGGTTACTGAGGCCACCCTGTTCCTCCTGGTACTTGATGATGACTGAATGATGCACCATGGTCAGGTGTGGGGTAATGCCTCCATGCAAACATGTAAAAATATACTGCGAGAGAGGAAAAAAATTAAAAAATGAGCTCATATGTTCGAGACACATTGAGTTACGGTGCTTATATGGGAGATGCAAGTTCATATCGGTCTTTCTTCCCATTATTCTTGTCATTTCTCCACTTTCAAAAAAATGCCAAAAGCCCTAAAAACTCTTAAATAAAATGTGAATGAGATAAAGCACAAAATTAATGTTTTTTTCGTAAACAGACAATCAGAGACAGACAGCGAGGGATGGAAATGGTAGCCGATGTACAGATGGTTTTATCAGTTCCTGTTTACCAAAATGTACACTATAAAGACCTGACCAGATCCAGTACTCCTGGACTAATCATCATTAGATCCTGCGGCCTGTTCATTTAGGTAGCGTAATGCAGCTGAAATCACATTATCCTCAACGTAGTTGATGTTTTGAAGGCTGGTAGAGATGTATGACTCATCTTTGCAGGTTCAAGTAGTTTCTAAATCAACAACTGTTACAGAGCCGTGAAGTCCTACAATTAATTCAAATCAAGGCCTCTGAAGAGCCTGACAAACTTTACATTGCAGCAAAATGGAATATATAATAGGACAAGATTTAAAAAGACATGCAGCCTGGAGTCTGAAAGTGTGGTGCTTTCATATAAATTTGAAAGAAAATGTAGCTGTGAAGTTGAGATGATGTTGTGACTTTCAGACTTACTTTAAACTGGCAGAGTGGATATTTTCCATAAATGAACTCCCATCTCCCGTTAACCTGAAGGGTGTAGTCCTCTGGCTTCTCCTGCTTGGCCGGTCGGAACACGGTGGACTTCTTTCTCAAGGCGTTCCGTTTCAAAAACATCGGCAGGTCCTGTGGATCTTGCTGGAGAACGAAGGTCTCCTACAAAGTCAAAATGTGAAATGCATAACCAGGGGGTCCAAAACATTGACATTCTTTCATTAGAAAAAGAGTAAGCCTACAATATAGGCTGAAAGTATAGAATAAGTCATAACTATAATGCAAAAACATAATATAGATACATTTAAGGTCAGTAGATTTGTGTTTCAGTAGGGATTAATTAAATTAATATAACATGACAGTAAAGACTTAAACATTGTAGATTTCTATTTCGCATAAATGCTTTTAGAACTTTTATTGAGCAAAGAATCTTGAAAAAATGCATCACAGTTTCCACAAAAATATTAAGCAGCACAACATAATATGACATAACAAGAAATGTTTCTTGAGCAGGGTACTTGATGATGACTGAATGATGCACCATGGTCAGGTGTGGGGTAATGCCTCCATGCAAACATGTAAAAATATACTGCGAGAGAGGAAAAAAATTAAAAAATGAGCTCATATGTTCGAGACACATTGAGTTACGGTGCTTATATGGGAGATGCAAGTTCATATCGGTCTTTCTTCCCATTATTCTTGTCATTTCTCCACTTTCAAAAAAATGCCAAAAGCCCTAAAAACTCTTAAATAAAATGTGAATGAGATAAAGCACAAAATTAATGTTTTTTTCGTAAACAGACAATCAGAGACAGACAGCGAGGGATGGAAATGGTAGCCGATGTACAGATGGTTTTATCAGTTCCTGTTTACCAAAATGTACACTATAAAGACCTGACCAGATCCAGTACTCCTGGACTAATCATCATTAGATCCTGCGGCCTGTTCATTTAGGTAGCGTAATGCAGCTGAAATCACATTATCCTCAACGTAGTTGATGTTTTGAAGGCTGGTAGAGATGTATGACTCATCTTTGCAGGTTCAAGTAGTTTCTAAATCAACAACTGTTACAGAGCCGTGAAGTCCTACAATTAATTCAAATCAAGGCCTCTGAAGAGCCTGACAAACTTTACATTGCAGCAAAATGGAATATATAATAGGACAAGATTTAAAAAGACATGCAGCCTGGAGTCTGAAAGTGTGGTGCTTTCATATAAATTTGAAAGAAAATGTAGCTGTGAAGTTGAGATGATGTTGTGACTTTCAGACTTACTTTAAACTGGCAGAGTGGATATTTTCCATAAATGAACTCCCATCTCCCGTTAACCTGAAGGGTGTAGTCCTCTGGCTTCTCCTGCTTGGCCGGTCGGAACACGGTGGACTTCTTTCTCAAGGCGTTCCGTTTCAAAAACATCGGCAGGTCCTGTGGATCTTGCTGGAGAACGAAGGTCTCCTACAAAGTCAAAATGTGAAATGCATAACCAGGGGGTCCAAAACATTGACATTCTTTCATTAGAAAAAGAGTAAGCCTACAATATAGGCTGAAAGTATAGAATAAGTCATAACTATAATGCAAAAACATAATATAGATACATTTAAGGTCAGTAGATTTGTGTTTCAGTAGGGATTAATTAAATTAATATAACATGACAGTAAAGACTTATACATTGTAGATTTCTATTTCGCATAAATGCTTTTAGAACTTTTATTGAGCAAAGAATCTTGAAAAAATGCATCACAGTTTCCACAAAAATATTAAGCAGCACAACATAATATGACATAACAAGAAATGTTTCTTGAGCAGCAAATCAGCATATTATAATGATTTCTGAAGGACCATGTGACACTGTATCTGTAATGATGCTGAAAATTCAGCTTTGCAAGCACAGGACTAAATTACATATCAGACTATATTCGAATAGAAAACAGACTTCTCTCAAAAATCTTGAAAAATATCTACCCCAAACGTTTGAATGGTACTGCATAATAAAAAACAGAGAAATTTTGCATCTAACTATATTCAAAAACTCAGAATGCGGGACTGCCAAGTTGATTGAGAGTGTGGGGAGACTATGCTTTATGGGAGTGGGTGGTCATGGTTGCCATGATTCTCATTTCCATGGTAACAGCGACTTCTCTGGGGTCTTTGAACAGTTTGTGTTATGAAAGGGGTCCTTGGTTCAAAAAAGTTTGAGAAAACATGCTCTAGTTATAGTAAAAAAGCAGAAAACTCCCTCATAATCACTGATGCGCATAGGATCAGGGTTCACTCACTATAGTATGATTAATTACTCATTATGTGATTGTTTTTCTCTGCAAATGCGGTGTCGAAACGGTCTGGCTTTTGATCCATGTCATGCACTATAAAAACAAGTGCTGCTGGAGGTTTTTTTGCACGCTTCAGACTCATTACAAGGTTAAAGATCATAGGTAAATAACATTCGTGCTGAGTGGGTGGGGGATTGACAGGCAACACAACACATATAAATACTATCAAAGGCTTCACTCTGGAAAACTGGGTCAGTGAGAGCCATGTGTGCCTGCAGATGCTGCAGTGACATCATCACCGTGTAAACGTCTCCTGACTGTTACGATTTGTGATATCAAAGGCAGAAAATATGTCAGTCTAAAATTAGACTTTTGCATGAGAGGATTAAATAGTCAACGACTACATAACATGCTGCTCATTTCACATTATCAGCACAAACAGAAAGCAGATACATAGCATTATACTAAAGGAATGAATTCCCAGAAAGCATAAAAGAATGGTATATTAACATGAACTCGTGTAAAATATGACTTCACTCACCTCACTGCCCTCAAACTTCACATTGACCAAAATCTTTTTGCCGCTGTGCGATTTCCCAGATTGCGCCACTACCGAGCACGGCTCCAAGTCACACGGGAAGTTGAACTCCATCCATGGTTCCCAAGGCAACATCTGACGCACCTGAGCACGCTCTTCACAAAATGTCCGCATTTTTGTTCGGAATTCATTCACCTCATGGTTCTTTTGGGAGTCAAATTCATGATGACCTGTGGAGAAGGTTTTATGCCATTTTGAACAAAGCCAGAATGGTAAAACTGCACTGTCAACATTCAATACGAAAATACTACCAATAATAAAACTCTCCAAGACACAAAAAATGGGTCTGTTCTAATAATGTTGCAGATAAATTAGCAGGGAAGAACAACGCTAAAAGCTAGTAATAAAATCCAATGAATCATATAATCATGCGTTTTTAGGCCAGCAAAATAAAAAGGCTTTTAAATTGACTTTTAAAAGACAGAAGAAAATACCTCCCATATCTTTAGTTGGCCAACATCTAGGATATTTTTATTTTGGCGCAAATTCATCTAGATGCTAGTCGAATTATGCAGAAGGCAACATGAACAGATTGCGTGACCATCCTCAAAAACCATTAAAGGGGTCATATGATGCGATTTCAATTGTGATTCAAATCTCTTTGGAGTGTTACAAGCTCTTGGTGCATAAAGAAACACAGGCGGCGCTGCTCGTCTTCCAGCTCCTCCCGCTCCGCGGTCATGTTGATGCAGGTGAAGACGTAGGCGTCCGGGTCACTCAGGGCACTGAACAGAGGCTCGTTCCTGGCATTCTTCCACACCATCTAAGGCACAAGCCACAAATCAAGACTTTAATGTGGACAGTGGGTTTGACTGCAGTTGATTCCTATAATTTTATTGCAGAGAATCTAATACCAATATGCTGCGTTTTGAATGATATTACCCAGCATACGGTACAGGTAGGCTTCCTGACTATCTCAACCAGAAAGATTTCCTTAGTTAACCAACAAGTGTACATAAAACAAAACACGTCAGGGGTATAAAGAAAGTAACAAGCGGGAAAAAACTGTATAAAAACTGTTTATATCTTAAACAATTGCATTGCTTTCAAGTTTTTACTTGTACTGTAGATATCATTTAATACATTTTAATACCAAATACATTTTAATATATGTTTTAAATTGTTCAAAAATAGGCATTTTTAAAAACCATCTGACTTTATGAATATAATAACCAGCAAATTTAATAATGAAATCAAAAAAATATACTATATTTTTAATCACCATCAATCAAATACTTGTGTATTTAAAATGTCCTGCAATGTATTTAAACAACAGTTTGCTTTTTTTAATTATTATTATTTGTTATTTTAATTATTACAGATGCAGTTTTATGACCTCATATTAAAGCAGTAGTTTTTTTAACATTGACCTCATGAACAAATTCAGCCCATTTGGTGAACCTAATAAATTCACTGAAAAGATCTCTTTACAAATTAGATTTTGATCATTCTCTCATAAACGAGGAGTGTTAAGATATAATATTAACATATTTTAGTAAATAATGATTTCAATTTTGTTATGTAAGATATTCTAAGACTTCCAAAGTTGTACGGACCTCATTTGTGCTGTTTTTTTGTCCTTTTTAAACTACAATCATGATGCTCATTCCAAACAGTCCATGTTATTTGTCAATTATTCATATCTGCAAATTAGCATGTTTGGTGTTTGCATGTGATCAGAGGGTCTCCTCACCTTCTTGATGGTACTAATGGTGTCACTGCGTGCTACGGGAAAGTTGAGGTAGATCCCCGTGGGGAGGAGGAACTCTATGTTGATCTGTTGCCAACCCTCCCTCTCCCACACATCCTGCATGCCGTAGACCCCCGGCGGCATGGTGCAGGAAGCTCATCTACAGCTGACCCCACTGCTGAACACAGATAGACGTTTACGACAGATAAAGTCATACAATACTGAACATGCATGAAGTGTTTACTAGCTGTTACAACCCACTGAACCAATTACAGAGGCAGGGAGTGACCTCAAGACGCTCAATTAATATTCAGCGAGAAGAGAGAGAGCGTGTAACATATGCTGCATAATAAATAATTATTAAGACACTTTTCTTGTAAATGTGCATCACATGCTCTTTAAAAATATATCATTCATATTATGATTAACATCACTTTATAATGGCTAGTAGCAATCGAATGTGTAAGTAAGAGTAAATAATTTAGAATTTTACTGAATAATTACAGAATACTTGTTTCTATCATCACAAAGACAAAATATTATCATAACATAAACCTCAAGAAGTACAATTAAGACACTGTTAAAAGAGAAAACATAGAAATATACTACAAGTTACGTTGCACATGAGCTTTAAAATTATTATAGAATATATTATTTTAATTACTATTTTTTAATATAGAATATATTTATTTTTTAACGCGCTAAAGACTTAACAGTTAGAATGTCCTATGCAGCGTGTTCATACTTCTTCTCTTCTCAAAATATATTTTTTATTTTATACAATATTTATATGCAATATAACATTGCACAATGGTTTGTATCAACCCAGTGACCTGCTAAAAAATGAAAGCTGTGCATACTAGGGTGTATAAAAAATACAGTCAAAACAATCAATCTCTTGTATAGGCAGACAGGTCATTGAATTGCATAAATTTGTTTATATGCACACTACAATAGTTATACTTTACATTATCAATGAAAAAATTACAACTGGAAAATCAATTTAAAGAAGATTTCAATTGCAATTGATCATGAACAGAAGTATGGTGTTCCTGACATGAGATTTCGCATTATATCATATTAATCAATATCTAATATCATATATGCTATGCATGTGTCTGAAGCACACACTGCAGCTCTGTGATGAATTGTCGGACTGTCTAGGGTTACAAAGCCGGCCGGAGGGCCAATATCCGAGAAACGTGGCGCACATCATCTCACATCAACATAGCAATTTCACAAATGTTATACTATATTTTAAACTATGCGTCTGTCGAAAATATATGGTGTACATAAATCGTAGCGATTAAAAATAGCACATTATTTATGATGCATTTTTAAAATGGCAGGTGTCAACACATTTTTGCCTAAGCCACCATGAATAAACCTCTGCTCGTTTCATATTCTCGTGATGGGAAACATGAAACAAAATATGACAATGTGACAGCGCGGACTTACCTTCAAGCCTCACCGGTGGTTCATTTCTCCATCTTCAGAATCAGCGATGCTCCTTTACTTTGACACTGAATATTGATATCTTCTTGGCGCGTGAATGTCGGTCAGCGATCAATACGCCAGTATTTGAATGGTCTGAAATGACAGCAGAAGTGTTAATAATCCTTTAGTGATTGGAGGTGTTAAAGTGGTCGTCTGCACTGCGCCTTCAGCACCGCGTTCCTAACTCGTAGGGATCATCGACATAGTTGTCTCTCTCTCTTCCTCTTTCACGCGCTCACTTGCTTCCTCCTCCTTTCTCTCTCTCTTTCGTTCTCTCCCTTGTTGTCATTCATGCACGGCATATAATACTGACAATAAAAATGTCTGCGTGTCATGAAATCCTTCATTCAGAGAGAAATGGAATGAATATGTTTGGAGAAAACGTTACAGTATAACATCAAGATGTTTGATGTTTTGATGATTTACGACCTTAAATTAACTGGCACCATTTTATCCATTACATAAAGATGTTATGATTTTAACTTTCAAACATACGTAATAAATGTTTGCACTTTTCAGAACGGTTCGAAACAATATTAACGGTCCCTAACTCTTCCTCAGCACACCACCGTCTGGCTTCCTCTGCTTCTGAGGTCTGTTTCCACGCGTGCGACATGCTGCGTTCGTTTGAAAACAGTCTCTGTGATTACTTAACTCTCCTCAATCATGTTTATGCACTATGAGCTATAAATTCGCAGAAATAAATCAAATATAATCCATTATGTGGCTTTTGGTTCATCCGAGTGACTCTAATCTTTTGAATCTGTTCTCCAAGATCCAATTTAAGCTTGTTACGGGTGAGTCACTGAATCATTCACTCAACCGATTCGCCAAAGATGCCAAGTCGGTCACGTTTCAATTAACTTGAATAGCGTATGGTGGTTTTATACGATCATAGTTCTTCAGCCGCTTTCTCTAATTGTTGTGAATGAGACTGACTTAAATTACCATTTTCGTTGAGGCGCTCAAAATATCCTCATACCAGCTCTGGTTCAAGGCCGAGTATTGTTTAGACGACTGGTTCACTCTAGGGGGCGTATTCGTTAATAAGTACAACCAATGAAATGCTCCGTTAAAGCCCTTCTCTAATGCTATTGGCTCATGTTATAGTCACTTCTCGAATGCTATTGGCTCATGTTATAGTCAGTCTTCGAAGGTGGGCGGTGTCACGCTAGAATTCTCTTACTATAAAAACTTAAAAGCTGTAGAAAGGAGTCGATTAAATTACATGTTCAAAAACATCGATTAGTTCACAACGAAACTGTAGTTCAGAGCATGTGTGCTACTATTATCCGACACCAGGTATCACGTGATACCTGTATGCGTAAATACTGTACATAACAGGCTGAATTACTGAACTTATTATTTCCTCATTTTTAAATAAAACCGGCCAGACGTGTCTTCCTGTGAGAGAGTAAGGAAGCTCTAATTCTGGATGCCACTGACAGCGAATAACGATTATGGGTCCATGCATGGGGAAGTCACTTAAAAGCACCAGTCATTCAGTCAAATAAATCTGTCTGCTTTCAGCAAGGAGACGTCTAGTAAAAGGCTATTATTTTATTCCTGAGAACAAATTATAAAGCTTTGCAATGCATTTATATATAAAAAAAATACATATCCTGTAATCCAAATAGAGCACAATCTCTGGCCCATTTATGAAAACACCATTGAATCCAAGACCTGGAACTGCATGTAATTAGTCACATGCTGTTTAATCATCTGCATAGACATTTATAGGTCTTCTTTTCAGCCATCTGAAAGACTATAGTGGTGCAGTGATGATAACAAGCTTTTAAAATGCACTGCACCATTGAAAGCTCGCAGCTTGTGAAAACAGGAAGTGTATGTGCAGAACAGAAACTCAGAGTGAAATAAAGCCAAAGACCCCTGTGCCCACATCCGCCCACCTTCAGCCCCTGCCCACAAGTCACTGCAGGCCAAAGTGCACTATGCTGCCAGACAGCTGATCACTGCAGGGAAGTTACTGGAGGTGATGGGGAAAACCAAACACATGCAATGTCATTACAGCCCCTGAAATAATCAAATCAAGCTGTAGAAAGAGGCCTCGGATGCCTTTAAGGGAAATTATGGATGGACATACAGCGCTGCATCTGAGACCATGGTCTAATATTCATATTGCACTTACAATGCATCAAACACTTCTTTAAATTTTAACTGTTAAAGTAACAGTCTTTCCTCACCATGGCAACAGTTTCAAAGCCTCATGTAGCCTTGGGATTACTCCGTCTTTCTTTATAAATGATCTCGTTTGTTCATCCAGCAGCTTGTATTTGAATATGGGCTGGTTTTTATGTTAAGATAAAACTATATTATATTTCTCTGTTCAAAGGCACTTTAGGACAGGGAATGACAAGTTTAAGCTGTAGTGAGTGTTTTGCTCATCACATGTCTAACCTAAATTGAGGTCAGTGGACTAAGATTTGCACTATCACAAGGAATAGACATCTCATGTCAACTATTACAATAGCTCATGCCTTTTTCTGTAAACCCAATAAATGGATTCACAGAAACATGCTACGAGAAGGTGGCCACCACATATCAATATATATATATACATTTTGTATATAATAAAATATGTTCAGATTAATTATATAAGCGGTCAATCAACATAATCTGTCTATATAAACTGTTAGTATGAAAACTAAAATACTACAACATCTTTTTACAGATAATAGGTCAAAAGGCCACAAGGGGGCGGCATTTAGCTACACAGTTTACTGTGGAGTTAGAATTACACAACCATGATCTTGCTCCATATTTTGGAATAATCATCTCATAATTTTAATCACTATTATTCACGAATGTTCATTATAATTAAGTATTTGCACTGCACTTAGCATTTACAGACACTGGATAGATTAGATATTGAAGCAGTGATTTTCGTGTCATTTTGTGCGTTTTTCAAATAAAACAATTGGACAAATTGTTTTTTTTTTTTTTATATTTGTAATTTTATTTTAATATTATTATTATTTCTTTAATTAAGTTTGATCAAATGCAATTGGCCTAGTAATATATAATAAATAGTCAAATAAATGAGACTTGTATGACTACACTAAAAAAAAATGGTGCTATATAGCACTAAAAGCGGTTCTTTGGCTCGTAATCATAGGGGAACCACTTTTAGTGCTATTTAGCACCTATTCTTACAGGTGCTATATAGCACCTTTGTCAAATGGTGCCATGTAGAACCATAAGAGGTGCCATATAGCACTTTTTCTCAACAATGGTGCACCAATCATAACTCATCCATCGGTAGTGGTGCTATATAGCACCTTAACCACTCCAAAGAACCGCTGAAGAACCTTTTTTTTTTAGAGTGTAGTTATCAGAATTTTATCAGAGAAAAATTCGAACAGGTTATGAACATTTACATATAAAAAAATACTTTCAAACTCCAGAAATGCAGACACTGAACATGTCTATTCAATATACAAAATATTTTGTAAAGAAAATACACTTTTGCATATGTAAAGAACTCTTGTAAACAACTTGTGCAAAGAGTTTCCACTAAATAAAATATTCATCAAACATTTTTAAACGGTATGCAAACCGTACATCCATTTTAAGATCCTTAATTCTATCTCAATACATGGTAAAAATAAATATGCTTATGTAGGCTATCTTGATGCTTTTTAAACATTTGCTGAAATTTATGGAAACTGACAACTTGCCAACAACCAAGTGCGTTTTGAACAGCTCTTCGTCTCTTGACTTTTAAGTGAACAATAGTTTAACAATGTAACAATATTTCATTCGAGAAAATCCACAAAACACAACTGTAAACCCATTAGTTATACAGTAAACAAATTAATGCAGCGAATGCAACATTTCTACCTAATTTCAACCAGCCAGTCTGACTTGAAACGGCACGTTTAACATCTCCAAAGGTTAACGTAACAAAAACAGCAAATCTAGATCCAAATGAATTTTTTTGCCTACTTATATTCAGTTTTCACGTGTCTGTCCGTCAGTCAAACGGATGATGCACCTGTTCGGGATGGCCGTTGTGCGGCGGGTAGCTGCAGGCGGAGATGGAGCTTCCGCCAGGGCTCACCGGAGGAGTCATGCCGCTCAGAGGCACCAGAGCGTTCGGATGCCGGTGGTACGGTCTGTAGGACGGGTGAAGGTGATGGTGTTGACCGTAGTAATAACTCACGGGAGAGTTAGCGTAATCGTTTGGAGACAGAGGGCGCGCGTTACCAAGCATGGGCTGCAGGTAGCTGGAGATGTGCGTCGGAGAGCTGGACTGGTGGCTCCAGGAGCTGGCGCTGCTGACGAACGGGCTTTGCCAGTAAACGGGCTCCTGTTGCAGGCAGTACGAGTCGGTGAACTTAAATCCAGACGGTAAGGTTGGTGGTCTGTAGGGTCTCTTGACGCGCCTCCTGCGCCTATAATTACCCTTCTCAAACATATCGCTAAACGCTGGGTCTAGCGTCCAGAAGTTCCCCTTCCTCTCCTCGCCGCTCTCCCGGGGAATCTTCACGAAGCACTCGTTGAGGCTCAGATTGTGCCTGATGCTGTTCTGCCATCCCTTTTTGTTCTTCTCGTAGTATGGAAACTTGGATATGATGAAGCCGTAGATGTCATTCAGGGTCAGCTTCTTCTCCTCGCTTTCTCTGATGGCCATTGCAATGAGAGCCACGTACGAATAAGGAGGCTTTTCTGGTGCTGGAGCGGCTCCTCCATCCCCCGCGGTACCCTGGCAGTCCTCTGCGGTATCGCGGGATTGCAGGTTATCAGACCCCGCGCTGCGATCCATGAGATGGGCTTGAGCTGGATGAATGAAAAGGCGAGATTCTCCGCAGCGAACAGCACGGGTGTAAAGTTAAAAGTGTCCAGGTGTGCTTCGGATTTGCTTTAGTCTCCACCTACCTGCCCTGCCTCCTGTTGGTATCCTGAAATAGAGGTCAAAAGTTCGCGAATTCAACATGAAAGAGGCGCGCGAGGGTCGCAGACGTATTTGGACTGCTTGGTAAATGTTACAGTAAACATCTGTTTGATGTCGCCGGCATTAAAAAACACTTGCTAACCGCGTTAAGCCAACATTAATAAAATAATAATAATATGTTTTCTTGTTATTCTTATTATGTTGTGAATTGATTGTGCAATTGAATTTAAAATATTTGATTAAATATAAAAACTGCAGGCTAAAGTTTGCAATGTCAAAAAGCATTGCAAATCATTCTGTCCTTTATCGTATTTTAAAAGGTTTGTGCGCACCTTTTTAATCCGCAGGCCTAAATAATCATGATTTAGGCTAAATAATATTAGACACATATATAACATTTAAACACATTTAACTAACTAACGCATTTATGGATTTTGTGGACTGCGCATGTTTCAAGAACAAAGAGCATCTGATTTGTAAACTTCATCCTCTGCACAGTCTTCCCACAACTGCTCCGTCCAATCAAATAGATGAAACGTGCCATCAAAGGTGCCGCCTTGTTAAGACCTTATTTGATGACCTGTATTCTCAACATAATATAGGCAAAACATAGCCTATTTTATAACTTTATATTTGTTGATGTGAAATTGTGATTTTTTTTCTTGAAATATGGGCTGTAAAAGTCTATTTAAAAAGTTAACAATTAGGCTTTTTAAAAAAGTATTTTAAATTCTTTTTAAAAAAGTTTTTTTTTTTTTCTTCTGATAGTGATTGGACTGGAATTAATTATCTGAAATTATAGCAATATTTAGGCTGAAAATGAAAGTCTTTTGGATTAAAGTTGTGTGAATTTGGCTTTAAGATTGACTTGCATAATGAGCTTAAAATGAGCCAGATTGTTATTGACTAATAATTAGCAATACATTTATTACAATATTTATTATTTTTTAATGTCAGTTAATTGTTAGTTCATATTAGCTCAGGTCCATTAAATAATATTAACAGATACAACTTTGGTTTAATGTATATATGTATATAATATAACTAAGATTAATACATGCTTTATCAGTATTTTTTAGAATTGTTCATTCATGCATAGTTATTTATTGCTATATATAACTAATAACTAATGTTAACAAATGGAACCAGTAGAGTGTTACCTATCATTTTAATAACTGCAGTGTGAATTATTCTGCATATTGTCATTGAATGAATCTTGAGCTCAGAGACATTGTTTTCAATAAATAAACAAACAAATAAATAAAGAAAATAAATACTGTTTGGGAAATTGTTCATTTATATCAGCATTTTTGAACATTATTCTCAACAGGTTTGATCAACTAAAATTAAAAATGTAATTCTGTAATGAACTTGCTCTTTTGTACGTTAAGTGCAAAAATATATATATTTTTAAATGTATTTATGCTATTTATTTCAAAATCGCAGTAATATCAGTGATTTATGGAATGTGCAGTATATACAGTATAATTGACCACAGGTTGTAATGTCCTTAGTCTGAATGTGTCTTACAATAACATAAAACATTCTTACAGCAACATGCATGTATTAACTTGCCTTTTTTGGGGGGGGAATTTCCCACTCTGACAGTTCCATCTTTATGTGCATCGACAAATACATTGCTAACTACAGTGCCTCATATCTTCAGTTACCTCCATTAAAGGCAGCACATTCATTAGAGTAAATACATCAGAAATCCATCTTCTAAACCATTTGCAAAACACATTAATGGCTTGTAATTCAAATGAATTTGCATTCTGTTCTTTATTTTTTATACCACTCTGAGCTGTATGTCCTATACTGAGAGAATCCAGATTGTTATCATTCTTTCAGGAGACAGACTGTCTACACCCAGCCAGTGATGGAGAAAGATAAACTCTGGTACTCTGGAATACTTTTGATTTACTTTCAGTTCCCATTGTATATTTTTCCTTACACTTTTTGAAAATGTAAATGATTGCATCGTTCTCTAACACAATTCAAAAGGGCAACATGCAAGAACAACTGAATGTTTCAAATACATCATGATATGGGAACTGCAACACAAAATAAGATCAAGGAAAAACCTTCACAACTACCTTCACTATTGACCTGTTCAGTGAGCAACTGACTTTACAAATACATGCTCAGAATTTCTGAATGATGAAAGAGAACGTTTAAAATTTACATTTACATATTAACTAGACACAACAGTAGCAGGAGAAATTAGTCAAGGAGTCAACAATATTTGTAATATACAATGCCAGAGATTAGGAAGCAATCTAGAGAAAAGGAGAAATTCAGAGAAGAATTTCAGATTTCATTATTTTTTTTTTAACACGAGTGTGAAAAAATACAGAAGACACCAAAACCAATGTATAACTATTACAGTGGAGATTTATTTCAATCTGGTAATTGAAACACCTTTATTTTATGTACAAAATATTAAATTATCCTGTTTTCCCTTGACATTATGAGTTAAATCATAAAACAGTCAGAGGCTCAATGGACACAGTAACAGACATTTGCTACACCAAATCTTTCAGTGTCACATTGTTAACAAATCAACACAAACATATTGCACTTTATAATATCACATCATTACGATAATGACATGACATGGAATTCTTCTTTCAGGATGTAGGATAAACAGAAACACTTAAATGTACAGCAATATGGCAAAGTCGTCAAATAGATTTTTTTTATAAAGATGCAACACATGCCCAACAGACATCATTCTGTTAAACTAAACAGCACAAGCATTCAGTCTGAAACACATCCAGTGTGTAAAAACACAAAAACTGATTGAACATGCACAAAAACATGTTTTACAAAGCTCACATCATACTTTGCAGCATAATGTAGAATCTCAGCTGTATTTAACAGAGCTCAAGTTAAGAGGATACGGTCTTCTTATTTATTTGAGAATTCCTTTATTCTCCATTATTATATCCACAATTGTTGAGCAGCAAGAATAAAGTTGTAGTCGTCACCCAAGGGAAATGCTATCCATGTATTTCCATGATATAGATTTACTGAGCACGCAGGTGACAACGACCAGTGTACATCCCAGGTTGACCTTGAACAGGTCTTTTCTATATGCTCATCTCCAATTGTAATAAAGATAGAAACCGATAAAGGTTAAGTTAATGGTCAGGCTGGCAAACAGTAGACCAGGCCAAAGTGTCAGGCCCAAAAACCCTGTGAAAAAGACAAAAACATTCAAACAATAAATAATTATGCAGAACAGAGTAAACACTGCTACTCTAATGAACTTCCTATTCGCACCTTTCCATCCAGGCTTGCTGTCAGTTCCATTTCCTGTGGTCGTGTCTACACGGCAGTTTGAAGAACCGGAGGAGCTGCCCATTCGCTTCTCCACATGCTCAAACACACTGCCCTCATCGATCAGTGAACCTGAATCTCAAACAAAATCATATCTATATCAATCTTAAAAGTTCAAGAATATTGAGAACAGAACATATAAATAACATATGTGACCCTGGACCACAAAACCAGTCATAAGTAGCACAGGTATATTTGTAGCAACAGCCAACAATACATTGTATGGGTCAAAATTATTTAATTTTTATTTTATGCCAAAAACCATTAGGATATTAAATAAAGATCATGTTCCATTAAGATATTTTTTTTATTTCCTACCAAAATTGACCCTTATGACTAGTTTTGTGGTCCAGGGTCACATTTGCCCATAAAACCAACAGACTTGAATGATATGAGGTTTTTAAATTAAGAAACGGAGGTTTCTAATCTTCAGTTATTAGTAATACAATATAATTTTCAAGTAATACTAGTAAATAAATAGATAGAAGATTGCACCTTAAAAATAGCATTAGTATGTTGTCCTCCAAAAAGCATTTGGACACTTAAGATAATAAAAGTTAGTTGACAAAAAAAAAAAAAAAGTCACAGTCACACTTTTCAAAAGCAAAATAAAGCAATACAAAATTTGGTAACATTTTAGGGCCACTCTATACTATCATTCAGCTCAAATGGTTGACAGAAACTTTAGGACATTCATGTAGATTAAAAATACATCCAAAAGTGTCCTATACCATGATTCTGTGAATGGAAGTGTGGAACATCAGGCAAGAATCCTCCGCTGTGCACGTGGCGTTGCTCTGAAAGAAACGGAGGTGGTGAGGCCAAACTTAAAGGCTCCAGAGGAGAGGAAAAGAGCCGCAGCTTTTGCCCACTGATGTTGAGTCTGGCCGGACTGATGAGTGGCCGGCACTGCCTGGCGGAGCTGGAGGTGGAAGTGACAGATCCTGCCACGGAAGAGGTTGGAGATGGTCCAGGAGAGGAGGGTTGGCTTCCAGATTTTAGAGAGAAGTAATCTATTGAAAAATGAAAGAAATTAGTTTCACCGCGTTTATCAAATGGCGATGTGACTGATAAGTAGTAGACAATTATCATATACGATTTATCTGGTTTGAGTTCATAAAGATGTATACAACAATTCCTTCACTTCTTCAGAATTACCTGAAGGTGGAGAGTCTTTACACTGTGAAGATGGTCTACTCCCACTGAACAGGAAACCTGAATCTACAAGCAAAAGAACAAATCAGCACAATTGTTTGGGGGTCATTTTTATGTTTTACTTGATCAAAAATACAGTAAAAGTGGTAATGTTGTGAAGTATTTTTATACCATCTCAAATAACTGTTTTCCATTTTTTAAATGCATTTTATTCCTGTGATGCAAAGCTGAATTTTCAGCATCACTACTACTCCAGTCTTCAGTCACATGATCCTTCAGAAAAACATTGTAATATGATTCAGTGCTCATTATTATCAATGTTAAGAACAGTTCTGCTGCTTAATATTTCTGTGAAAACTTTTTTTTTTCAAGATTCTTTGAAAAATAGAAAGTTCTTATTACGTTCAGCACTTATTCAGAAATGTTTTCTAACATTATAAATGTATTTACT